AAGATTGCGGAGTAAGGATTCCGCAGTACAAACTACCCATTACGGATTATTGAATCCATTCCGTATTACGTATTCCTTATTACGGATCCCTCAGGGTCTTTACTAAGAGTTATTCATCAAAAGCGCAGGGGGAGGGAGCAAAACAGCTTCAAACAATCATGCAAATGATGATGATTATACTAAAAAATGGTGGAAAACCTACTAATTAATAGCATGAACAAACAAACAAACAAAAAACATAACTCGAAAAAAAAAAAGCAACGACAATAATGATACAACTAACAATAAACATACTCGCCGCAATCACTCATCAACATCATCCTCACCATCATCAGCAGCATCACTATCAACATCAGCATCATCATGATCACCACCACCATCAGCAGCAGCGGCAGCATCATCATCGTTACCGTCCTCGTTATCGGCATCGTTATCATCATCGGTACCATCATCATTATCAGCATCACCATCATCAACCGCGCCATCATCACCATCATCACCATCATCATCGTCGTCATCAGCATCACCACCATCATCATCATCAGCAGCAGCATCGTTGTCATCACCACTATCCACATCAGCATCACCAGACTCATCATAAACACAAGTATAAGGTATCATAGTGATCATCCCCATCATCACCGCCACCATCACAATCCTCAGCAGCAGCAACAGCATCATCGTCGCCGTCGTCGCCATCATCGCCACCACCACCACCATCATAGAATGATCAGCATCATCATCATCAGCAGCAGCATCATCAGCATCGTCGTCGTCATCGGCCCTCCTCAAGCGTCTTCGAAAGCTCGGCCATCCCCTCGTACTGGTCCAGGAACACGGTGAGGGGGCAGTTCTTGCCAGCCTGAGAGGAGAGGGGGAGAGGAGGAGGCAGCAAAAAAACGCTCAAACACCTCGATGATCCCGTTCCACCTCCTCCAGCATCACCTCCCTGCCCTCCTCCTCCTCCTTGGAGTTGCAGGAGGAGGAGGAGAAGGAGGAGGAGGGAAGAGGGTGTGCAGGGGAGGAGAACGTTTCCTCGGCGTGTGAGGACGGGGGGGGGCGGAGGCAAATGAGGCGGCGGCGTCATCTGCTCCAAAAATGCTCCCGGACGGCATTGCCCCTAGCCGCTCCGTGCTGGCTTCCACAATGCCCTTCCACTTCGCCCCACATGACCCCAACGCACCCCTAGATGGCCTAAACAAACCATAAGAGGCCTCCAACACGGCCGAAAGCGCTCTAAGAGGATTCCGAACGAGGCCAAGAGGACTCCCATCTTCCTGGGAATACGTTTCTAACATCTTCGCCTTTTCGGTCTTCGCAGCCTTCACGAAGGACCCTGAGGCTACCAGAACCACCCCTAGAGGGCCAGAATGGCCCCCGAGAGGGCCGAAAGACGGCCCAAGAAGCCCAAGATGGGGAGCTCAAACTGCCATTCTCAGCAGTCCCAAAAGCCCAACCAGTGCCCAAGAAGCCCCCAAGAGGCTCCGACTCAAAAATGACCTAACAGGGCCTGTTTTGAGTGCGGTATGGGTTTCCAAATGAACGCACGGCGACGCCGCGTTTCTACGACAGTGCCCAGTGTTCCCAAAGGGTCGGCGGTGCGGCGAAAGCCAACGAGTCTTATGGTTGGTCGGAACATTAGGTCGGGCATGTCCTCCTGCAGGCGGATTCTGGGAAGAAAAATAAGAAATTGTCACAATAAAATGTTCAAACATTGGCCAAACATGACAGAAACCGTCCCCAGACCATTTCTTAACCTATGTTTGAATACTCTTCCTGTAGAGGGGCAGGCCCAACTACATTTCATGGTTGGTAGCAACACTCGTGCCAGCCGTGGTCGCCTCGAGGCTCTTGCGGCACTGCTCTCTCCCGGGGGCGAGCCCAGGGGGGCAATGCAGAGTGGGCGGGCCTCCTCGGAAGGGTTCGGAAGGGCTCGGGCCTTATGGGGAGTCTCTAAGCCATCCCCGAAGGCACAGGAGATGCACCAAACGCGCGAGGGTTTCTCAGAAGACCCGCCGCCGCCTTCTGAGAAGGCCTGCCCCTCAAACGCTTGGTGGCTTGTGGGTCATAACTCGGCTGTCCCGTGGCCGCTTGGGGTGATCCTGGCACCCCCGGAACGCCCTCGACGAGGCGCGGCCGCTGGAACGCATCCCGAGGCTGTAAAGCCACCGAACCCCGAACCCCGAACTTCGAGACCCCTCTCACTTCCCCCTTCTGAGCTCGCCGCCGATTCCGCCATGTGAAACAAAAGTTCACCATCAAGACGGCCCGGTACCTCGATCTGCACAGTATAGCGAAACGGAAACAATGGGGTGAAACAACGAGCGCGCTACGTATGACACCAGTGGAAGAGGAGGAAGAGGAGGAGGAGGAGGAGAAGGAGGAGAAGGATAAAAATAGAAACAGCAGCCATTATTCGGGAGCCCAACGGATACTGGGAACAAAACCTGAACGACCCCCCACGCGAGTTCGGGGAGGGACCTGAGAATCGGCGGCGAACAAGGGGGGAAATGAGAAGAAGAAGGTCTTCTCAGAAGGCGGCGGGGCTTTTCAGAAGCCGCCCGGCTTTCTGAGAAATTGTTGTTCTTTGTCTCCGGGGACGGTTTGAAAAATTCTCAGAAGGCCAGGGGGTCCGAACCTTCTGAGGATGCCTTTTCCTTCCCACTTCCCCCCTCGCTTGCCGCCAACCTGAAAATTTTATACTTTTTGGTCAGCAGGCTCGCGAGGCGGGTCGAAAGCCGTCCGAACACTAGTCGGGCCGCGGCTAGGCAGCAGGAAAAGAAAGGCAAGCGAAGCGAGCGAGCGGGCAGCCACTTAGAAGGAGAGCCAGAAACCCACGTGAAATTTGATACCGGCGACGAAGGGAAACAGCTCCTTGGGTGGGTCCAACGTGGATCGGGCGCGCCCGGCCGCCTTTGCGGGCCGGCGCGTGCAAGGCTGCGACGCTGAAACGCAGAAAAGAAGAGGAGGAGGAGGAGGAGGCTGGCTCGCCCAAAGGATTTGGACGGCAACCAGCGCGGTGCCCTGCCCGCAATAAGGCACCGCATGCGTGCAACAGTTCTACTACCGAACCCCACTTCATTTTACCATTTGCATCCCTTTTCCCCCCCAGGGCTCTCAGGAAGCTCGACGAATACGCACCAACGCGAACGCCGACAACGAGCAGCAGCACGCACGCCACAGAGGGTTGCAACCGCATGACAACAGCGGAAACCGGTGTGGCAGTTCCCCGAACCCCTTCTGGCAACCGCCAAGCCAAGCAGGGGGAAAGTTCGGGGTTGTTTTGAGGGGGGGTTGGGTGCGCCGAAATAAACAACGAACTATGATGGAGTGGTTCTGGGGGGGGGTCAGGGGGTCGGTGGGTTTTCCACCCATACATCCCCCTCAAGGGAAGTTTTAAGGGGGTTCAGGGGGGGTCCACCCCGGAAATCCCCTTCGTTGTTTTTGTTGTTTGCGGACTAGAGTGAATTAGGAATTTTCCCCCCTGGAACCCTCCCTCGCCCTGGATTGCTTCTTGGGGGGTTGAAGAGGTTTCCCCCCGGACCCCCCCTCAGAGGGTGTTTTGGATGGGGGGGGGGAGTCCCCCCCAGAAACCCCTGAGGGAAGAGTTTCTGGGGGGTCAAAGGGCGGCGGGCTTCCTCCCAAGCACCCCCCCCCCCCTTCGGACATGCATGTTGGGAGCCCCCCCCCTCACCGAGGGCTTCAGGAGGGTTAGGGGGGGCGGGTTTCCCCCCAAGAACCCCTTCGCCTCAGAAAGGTTGTTGAACGGAGGTTACGGGGGGGGGTCCCCCCAGGAAATACGGGGGGGGGGGTCTCCCCAGGAACCCTCCCTCGCCCCGGAACCCCCTCAGGTGGCTGTTGTGGGTGATGAAAGACATGTTCTTCCTGGAACCCCCCCTCCCGGGGGGTGTATGGGGGGGGTCACGGGGGAGAGAGGTTTTCCCCTCAAATCCCCACATGGTTTTTGGATGGGTTCAGGGGGATTGCCAGGAACATCCCCTCAGGGAGGGTTTTGGAAGGGTCCGTTACGGAAGGCAGGTTTTCCCTGTCCCCCCGGAACCCCGCTCAGGGGAGGGGTTTATTGGATTAGGGGGGATCGGTCGGCTTTACACCCCCAGAGCCTTCCTCAGGGGGAGTTGGAGGTGGTCGGTGGGCTTCCCCCAGGAAGTCGGAGGGTGATGGTGTGTTCCCTTCCGGAACCCTCCCTAAGGGACGGTTCTTAATGGAAGGCCACTGGGCACCGGTAGGTTTTCCCCCAGGGCCCCCCCTCAGGGGAAGGTTTCCATGAGGGGAAGAGGGGGTCCCCCCAGGAAACCCCCCATCAGAGAAGTTGCTGGGGGGGTTAAGAGGAGTTGGTAGGTTTTCCCCCCAGGACCCTCCCTTAAATACAATTCTGGAAAAAGTTTCATGCGTTAGTATGTTCCCCCCCCCGGACACCCAACTCAAGACCCCCAACAACTAGGGCGGTTTTCCATCCCGGAAACCCCCTCGCCCCCTCTCAGGAAAGGTTTTTGACAAGGGAATGTTTAAAAACGGTTCCCTCAGGAGCCCCCCCTCGCTGTTTTTTGGGGGGCGGGGGGACCTCGTCCCTAAGAGCACCCCTTCGGGCCGTTTTTGGGGGGATCGGGGCAGGGGCTGAGGGCCCCCTCGCAAGGGAATAAGGGTGGGAGGTCAGGGGGTGGTGGCGGGCTTTCCCCCCGAAACCTCCCTCAGGGGGGAGGTTCTGGGAAGGTTAAAACTGCGTCGAGGGTTTCCCCCCGGTCAGGGCGCCTTGTTGGGTCAGTCAAGGGGGGTTGGGCGATTTTCCCCCCAGAAGCCCTCCCTCGCCCCGGAACTTCCCCTCACGGGGGGTGTGTTTGCCGGGGTTACAAGGGTTTCCCCTCCGGACCCCACCCTCAGGCGAGCCTCTGTCGGAGGGTTGGCGGGGGGTGAAGGTTCTCCCCCCAGGGACCCGTTTTAATCATCCCTAAGCCTTGGTTCAGGGGAGGAAGATTCTCACAGGCCGCGGTCTTCCCATTCGGGGACTCGGTGAGGCGTCCGCTTTACGGCTACTCCGCTCCCTCGCCCACCACCCAGGCCCGAGGCGGGATAGCACTTTTCGGCCGTGACTCCGCAGGGAGCTAGTTGTGCGTCTCCTCTGCTGGGTCTACTCTGTTCGGAACAGCATCTGCGCTGTGTCAGCGTTAGACCGAAGGGTTCTGTGGCGGCAACCGCGTTGCCAGAGCGTTCCGCTGCAGGGTTCGATGGGCCGCTCGCGCCAGGGAGCCCAGCCTCCGCAAATGCAAACGCTTCGGCTGGCAAGCACCGACAAATTTTGAGCATCGTTTAGCCGATCCCCATTCCCAGCGGCGTGGCCCGGGCCCCACTGGCCGATTTACCCCCCGGGATGGGGATATAGGCCGTTCCCTTCGGGCTTCGAGGGCTGTATCCCCAACTGGGGGGGCAAGTTGGCGGAGGCCTCGAAGGGGATGGGGATGGGGAGTTGCTCCGTTTCCAGCCTCGGGAGTTCGGCTGGGTCGCAGAGGCCCATCTGCTGTGCTTGCTTGCCTGGCACCCGTGCAGTTTCTGGGGGGTCTCACTACATGCTGGGCTAGTTGCGGTGCTGGCCTTTTGCTGGCCAAACGCTACCAACTTTTGTCGCAGGGGGGCGCCTCCCGGCGCCGCCTCCCGGCGCCGGGAGGCGCCCATGCATCGAGGCATGGGCACGGCGGCGAGGCCGAAAGCGGCGGCACGCAGCAGATTTCGTAGCCCCCCCCTCCCCATGCCCCCCCCTCTCGTGCGACCCGATACACGCCACCAGCTCGTGTCGCAGGGGGGGCGCGTGCTCCCGCGTCCCCAGACATCCGACGTCTCGGTTTTTTCGAGACGTGGGCCCCCGACCTCCCGATCACTTCCCCGGGACCGGTTTTTCATCCCGCGTCGTTTTTTGACGGTCCCGGGGCCCGGCGAGGGCCCCGAGAGGCCGAAATCGACGAAAAACCCTCGCCTCGATTTTTTCGAGACGCCCGAGGTCTGCGTCGGTGCGTCGGGCCGCCGCCTCGGCGAGGCCGCGCGCCCTCCCGCGCCCCGGCCTCGGCGCGTGGGGCGCCCCTGCGCTCGCCGGCGCGGCTGGCTCTCCCGCGTCGGGGGGGGGGGTGGGGAGGAGGAGGAGGAGGGGAGGAGGAAGGAGGAGGAGGAGGAGGAAGGGAAGGAGGAGGAGGAGGAGGAGGAGGGAGGGAGGAGGAGAGGAGGAGAGCGAGGAGGAGGAGGAGGATGAGGAGGAGGAGGAGAGGAGGAGGAGGAGGCCCGCTCTCCCGCCCGCCCTCCCTGCGTCGGTCCATGCGCTGGCCGGCCGGGGGCTCGGGAGCTCCTCGGGGGCCTCTCGGGCTTCCCCGTCCGGCCGCACGCCGTGCGTTCCCAGACGTCGGGCGTCTCGAAAAAATCGCGGCGGGAGTTGTTCGCCGTTTTGGGGCTCCCAGGGCCCTCGCCGGGCCTCGGGACCGTCAAAAAACCACTCGGGACGAAAAACCGGTCCCGGGGCAAGTGGTCGAGAGGTCGGGGGCCCGCGTCTCGAAAAACTCCAGACGTCGGATGTCTGGGTTGCCCAAAGATCCGTGCGAGCGCTTTGGACCACCCCTTGGAGAGCGGCCAGGTGAGAATCTTCTGGGGAGGGTGAACGGGGTTGGTGGGTCGTCCCCCTGAGGACCCCCCTTCGGTGGGGGTAGGAGGGGTGGACGTTTTTCCCCCCCGGAGCCCCCCCTCAGGGGAGGTTCTTTGGGGGGTTAAGAGGGAGAACGGACCGGATTGGGGAAGGTTCTAAAGATCTCAAAATGTCTGCCATGCTTCAAGTTATTCCAAGGGGGTAGGGGATTCCGTGAAAGAAAGGGAGCAGAGAGAAAAATTCATAGAGATCCAGGGGGCTCTACAGATTCCACCATGCGCGAGGGGTTCTGACGAATTCTACATGTGTGTGGAGGAATTCGAACGGCTTCTGGGGGATTCCAGCAGATCCCAAGGAGGTTCGGAGGAGGAACAGGAGCGCCACTGCCCCCCCAAAAAAGCAGACAAGAGCACGAACACGAAGAACGCCCCCCTTGCAGGGGCATGAGAAACCCGCGCCCCCCGAGGACGAGGAGGAGTTCGAGGAATAGGAAGAGGAGGAGGAGGAGGAGGAGAAGGCGGAGGAGGAGGAGGAGGAGGAGGAAGGAGGACAAAGGCAGGAGAAAGGAGGAAGGAGGAAGGAGGAGGGAGGAAGGAGGAGGAAAGCGGAAGAGGAGGAGAAGCAGCACGAGGGGGGGAGGAGGAGGAGGAGGAAGAGGCGGAGGAGGAGGAAGGAGGACGAAGGCAGGAGGAAGGAGGAAGGAGGAAGGAGGAGGGAGGAAGGAGGAAAGCGGAAGAGGAGGAGAAGCAGCACGAGGGGGAGGAGGAGGAGGAGGAGGAGGAGGAGGAGGAGAAGGAGGACGACGACGACGACGACGAGGAAGAGGACACCGTTGCCCTCCGCGCCATCGTCCTGTCCCCTGTCCCTACTCCTGGTCCAGCTCCAACTGCTGCTGCTGCTGCTGCTGCTGCTGCGCACCCTCTCCCACCGCGTCCCCTTTATCCCCATCCGTCGTCCCCACCCCCTCCCGCTCCGCATGTGATCTGATGTGAGCACTCATTCCGTATCAGCTTCCCTCCCGCTCTCGTGCACGCTGCATCGTCCTCGCCCCATCATCTCAATCTGCCGCCATCTGGACCCCTGCTGTACAAAGCCATTGACCGAAGGGCCAGCCCCAACATGCCAGAATCACTACCACCTGCCCGTGCGCTGAGCCTGGCTTCCTGGAGATTTTGCGTATACGATGGTGCAGCCCTAGAGACTGCTTCGGCAGTACCAGTCATCGTAGGCACCCTTGCAAGACGGAAGAAGATAGGCCACAGTCAGAGTCGACATCTGAAGGGGCCCTGGGACACACAAATAAATACATACAAATAACAGGATTCCCCATGCGTTCCCATACTTTCTGGGTGTTTGTATTCCCCCCCCCACTTCCCATATTTTCCCAGAGTTTCCTGTCTGTGTTGTTTCCCCTCCTGAACATCTCCGATCCTCACTGCATGTTCTACGGCTGCCAGGCCGAGAGAAGACAGGCGACGCCCAGGGAGGGCGGCCGTCGGGCGGGCGGGCCCTCCCCCGAGGGGGGCTCGAGAGGGCCGCCTGGGTCAGCGTCACCTCCATCGCGGCCAGGGTGCCTCGCGCGTCCACGGGGAAGGAGGTGGCGACCTCGAAGGGCTTGGCCGTGTCGATGCACCTCGGGAGGAGGTCGCGGGGGTGGGGCGGGGGCGACCTCTTCCACATCATCCCTCATCCTCCTCTTGCCTCCTCTTGCCTCCTCCTCCTCCCCTCCTCCTCCTCCTCCTCCTTCCTCCTCTCCTCCTCCTTCCTCCTCCTCCTCCTCTCCTCCTCCTCCTCCTCCTCCTCCTCCTCCTCTCCTCCTCCTCCTCCTCCCCCATCCCCCCCCTCCCATTCCACCTCTCCCTCTCCCTCCCTCCCTCCCTCCCGTTCTCCTCCCTCCCTCTCCTGCCTCCCTCCCTTTCTCCATCCCCTCCCTCAACTCCACTCCTCTCCTCCACGCCTCCTCACCTTCCTCATATTCTCCTCCATCCTCCTCCCTCCTCCCCTCCCTCATCCTCCAGCCGGCTCCCTCATCTTCCCCTCCCTCCTCCGTCCTCTGTTATTATTATGCTCCCATGGCGCACGTTCCCGCCCAGACGGATGGAGGGGGGAGGAAGGAGGAAGGAGGAGGAATATGTTTGGAACCCAGAGGTTCCGAAAGCATCGACAAAACAGTGCGTAAACAAAATCTAACCACGAGAATCCATCCTCGAGGCGGAGGAGGAGGAGGAGGAGGAGGAGGAGGAGGAGGAGGAGGAGGAGGAGGAGGAGAGAGCCCTCGTCCTTTCCCTCTCTCGGTCCCCGCCCCAGGCTTGCCGCCCCCAGATTCCGCGCTGCCGCCCGCGAAGACGACGACGACGACGACGACGACGATGACGGCGGCGGCGGCGGGCGCCTCGAGCCCTTGCCGTACTCCGCGGAGCCCCAGTCGCGGGGGCCGTCCCAGCCGTCGCCCCCTCCGTAGCCGCCACCGAGGCCGCTGGTTCGGGGGACGCCGACCGACCACCTTTGCCGATCCTTCGAGTGCGGGATCGGCCACAGAATCGATTCACCCCAAAATTCATTTCTTCGTCGAGTCTGCGAACAAGGCGTAGAAGATTCGTAGATCTACGAGCATTACACGTATGTTCTGCACATGCGACGAGAAAAATCATGCTGGAGCAAAGCAGTTCTGTAGTCGAGCCTCTGCTCGAATCCTGGGCCGGGCCCTCTCTGGCGCTCCTCGCCCTTGCTGGGCCTCCTGGGGCAGCTCCTCGTCGCCCTGGCCTGGCTGGCCTCGAGAGAACGGGTCGCTGCCGCTGCATGCCCCAGGGATCGACCCAAACCGTGTGGTTCGTCTTCGTCGTGCTTTCGCTCTCCCTCGTCTCGTCTTCAGTCCGCCACTGCCGCCACACGAGATCGACACGAGAAGGGCCCACGACGTCGAGAAGACACCGTGGAGGTCGACCCCCGACCTGCCCTTTTGCCTCGCCTGGGCCGCGCTGGACCTCCTGGGAGGCCCTCAGTCGTCACGGCGGGGTGCTCCTCGGAAGCCTGGCCAGGACTTGGCGGCACGCACAAGGGGGTGGAGGGAGGGGGGGGGGCTTCTCATAATTCTCAGGAGACTGCTTCTCAGAAGGCGCCGGCCTTACATCTGTAGACAAGGCCCGCGCCATCTGTATGAGAAGCAAGCCCATAGATCATAGATCCGATGTCGTGTTTTTTTCAATGCGGGATTCCCGGAAGTCCCGACCCTTTCCCCGGGACCGGTTTTTCGTCCTGAGTCGTTGTTTTACGGTCCAGGGGCCCGGCGAGGGCCCCGAGAGGCCAAAAACAGCGAAAAACCTCCGTCTTGATTTTTCAATACGTTGGATCTCTGGGGGGGTGCTTCTAAGAAGCCCTCCCCCCTCTCCCCACCCCCCTCTAGGCGTGGCTGAAGGATGGCCCGCGCGGAGCGATCCCGGGGGCCGACATCCTGGGCGGAGGCGGGCCGGGCGCGAGGGCAGCCGCTCCCTCGGCTGGCCCTCCTCCGGTCGTCGATCCTGGGCCGATCCTCCTCCTCCTCTTCCTCCTCCTCCTCCTCCTCCTCCTCTTCCTCCTCCTCCTCCTCCTCCTCCTCTTCCAGAGTCAACTGTTGCATTTTGGAGCCCCCATCCCATCAGTTGGGAAGCAGGCACTCTTCGTGTCGAGGCGTCGGCGTGCGCAGAGGTTTGTGACACCGCGTCGAATGTGCAGCCTCGGATCGATCGCGGCCCCGAGCGTTCCAAATGGAGCTCCGTCGGGTCCCGTGGCGCTGCCGTGTCGCTCGGACCGGCCACGTCGCAGAATGCAGCCCTGAACACCTTCGCCAGCGTCGCCGGTGCTCCAACGCCGTACGAACCCACCGTAGGCAGAAACTTCTCAAGGTCCGCGCGGAGTTCCTGCATCGGCGTTGGACCCGCCTCCATGGCGCGCGGAGCGCGCTGGAGGCGGTGCTCGAGGCGCCACCAAGGATGTCCAGCGCAGATCCAAGACATCCGCGCGGACCTTCGAAAGCGCATGTTCATGCAGTTGTTGATCGTTCTCCTTCGGCACAGGAGGCACATGCCCCGACCCAGGGCCCAGGATCGCCCTGACCAGGATCGGTGAGGCGCTCAGTTCACGCCCCCCGAGCTGTGGTCGGTCGCGGTGTGCAGCGTGGAGTGCCAGGCGAACTGGTTGGCCTCCTGGCACGTCGGGGATCGAGTCTCGAGGGTCGAGATTTTCGTGCGCCATCGGTCCCCGTCCACTGAGTCGAGTACCAGCCGTCGGTCGTCGGTGTCCGTCGGGTCGTCGGTCGACGGTCATCCGTCGGTCGTCCGTCAATCGTCGGTCGTCGGTGTTCGTCTGTCGTCGGTCGTCGGTCGTCATCGTCAAGGCCGTTGTCGTTGTCGAGGTCGTCGAGGCCGTCGAGGTCGGAAGAGGAGGAGGAGGACGAGGAGGAGGAGGAGGAGGAGGAGGAGGAGGCCATGGGGGGTTGGACATCCTGGGCGCCATCCTGGGCGGTACCTTCTTTTAGAGCAAGATGAACATAACCTTTCAGAAGTCCGAACGGATTTCGTGAATCGGCGCTGGACCCCCCTGGCGGCGCCCCTGGCGCCGCCCCTGGCGAGCGATCCACGTGCTAGGGAAGGTGGTTCAGTGCCGATCCAAGAAAACCACGAGGACCTCCGAAAATGCATGCTTCCCATAGTATCAGAATGGGATTAGAGCCGCTAGTGCTATGCATCCGCCTCCTTGCTTCCTTCCCACCCTTCCCCCACATTCAGAGCCACTCACGGCCATACTCACACTCAGACGGACTCGCCCTTGCGCAGACTTGGAGGCGGCTGGTGGGTCTGAACTGGCTGGGACCCCAAAAAATCGGTCAGGAGGGGGGGAACGGGCCAAATCCGCTCAAAATCGGCCCTGGACCCCATCCAGGGGTCCATCGGGTGCAGTTCCCCTCCCGATGCGTTGGTCACACGGTCCTGGAGCCCCGAAAAACGGCCCCCGGAGGCCGAAAACAGAAAAAACAAAAAAAAAGTCCCGAAACCAACGCCTCGAACCTGCCCGCCCTTCCTGGTGGCGACCCCCAGACGGCTCCAAGCCCAAACCCACTCCTACTCAGACCACTCATACGCAGACTCGTAGGCTCCATCATACTCAGACTCGCTCAGACTCAGTTGCGCATACTCATTTCACGATGAATCGAACCCAATCATACTCATCTTCACTCATGTTCAGTTCACTCATACTTCGACCCACTCATACTCTGACCCATCGGGAGCCGCCAGGAGGTATTATTGCACGGGCCCGTTCGCGCCCAAATTGGTGGGACCTCTGGAATAAAATTCCCTTGCGCATCTTTTTCCACCAGAGCTGGGTATCTGACTATTGAAATTGTCGGTGTCCAGCTCCAACTGGAACCTGGGTGCTTAAGTGCCCCCGTATGCAGTGGTCCAACGGGCGTGCCCCAGTCCAATGCCTGGGTGCGTGGCTGGGTGCCCAAATGCCGGGTGTCCAACCAAGTGCAGTGCGAGGATGTGCGCCAAGAATCCAGTCGAGTGTCCAGATGTCTGGGTGTCCAGGTGTCTCGGGCCAAATGCCCGGCCCTCGCCAAGTGTCCGTCCAAGTGTCCAGCTGGGTACTGGCTGTCCAGGTGCCAACGTGTCTGGCTACCCAGGTGCCCGGCTGCCCAGACCGCCTCGCGTTGTGAAAAAATGCGACGGACGATATCTGGCATCGGGGTCCACGTCATGAAAAAACATGGCATCGGATGTTTGGGTGACCGAGGGCACAGCACAGGTGCCCGGGTGCCCGGGGGGGGGGGCGAGTATCCGGGTGCGTGCTGGGGTGTCTGGGTGTCCGGATGCCCGGATGTACCAAGCGTCCTCTCAAGGGCCTGGGTGCCAGGGTGCCTGAGTGTCCGAGGGAGCGTGCCCAGGGGCACACGACTGGGTCCCCGCCCCCATCACACAGGGGGTCCCCTGGGCATAAGTTGCTAGCCACCGCCTGGGCCACATCAGTCGAAGGCCTTGTCCAGTGGCAGTCCTGGCCTGACTGTGTCTTCTAATTCGTTCGTGGGTTCCCAACGCGGAATATTGAATACAGTCAAAAATCATACTGAGGATGCGCGGTAAGGATGGCGTTTTCGAAGGGGGTTGGCCAGCGAAAGTCGCCCAGGATGGGCCGAAGGGGCAAGGATGCAAAGATAGTATTGGAAAGTTGCCCATTCTTACTACGCGACTTGACTGTACATGCGGGAGCACAGAAGCCCCCGCTTGCGGAGGGGAAGGAAGAGGACAAGGCGCAAACAGCAGGCGAAAGGCGGCCAGCCCGAGGAGAGGCGGCCTTCTCCTCCTCCTCCTCCTCCTCCTCCTCCGCCTCCGCCTCCGCCTCCTGCTCCTCATCTTCCTCCTCCTCCTCCTCCTCCTCCTCCTCCTCCATGTTATCCTCCTTGTCATTATCCTCCTCCTCATCATCATATCATAAGCATCATCATCATCATCATCATCATCATCATCATCATCATCATCATCATCATCATCATCATCATCATCCTCATCCTCATCCTCATCATCATCATCATCATCATCATCATCATCATCCTCATCCTCATCCTCATCCTCATCATCATCATCATCATCATCAGCAGCAGCAGCAGCAGCTGCATCATCATCATCATCATCACCACCATCATCATCATCAGCATCATCATCAGCATCATCATCAGCATCATCATCAATATCATCATCAGCATCAGCATCAGCATCATCATCATCACCATCACCATCATCATCATCATCATCATCATCATTATCCTCATCCTCGTCATCATCCTCATCCTCATCCTCATCCTCATCCTCATCCGCATACTCATACTCATCATCATCATCATCATCATCATCAGCATCAGCATCAGCATCATCAGCATCATCATCATCATCATCAGCATCATCATCATCATCATCATCATCATCATCATCATCATCATCATCATCCTGCTCCTGCTAATGCTCCTGCTCCTGCTCCTACTCCTGCTCCTTTTCCTCCTCCTCCATCCCTTTTCCTTATAAACAACTCGTCCCTGTCGCACCCCGAGGCCAGTTTTTGGGGGCGGGCTGGGCGTTTCGCTTGAGACCTCCTCACAATTCATGACTCTGAAGCATAGAAGTGTCAACAAATTCACAGAAGGAGGGCGGTTGGTTTTCAAAATGTGGCTTTCGCCTTAGCGCTGCGCAAATTCGTCTCCAACATGTTCAAGAGTTTCACGGATTGAGGATAACCCGTTTTCAAAATGTGGCTCTCGCCTTAGCGCTGCGCACATTCGTTCTAACGAATTGCATGAGCTTAATGTATTGCGGGCGGCTCCTTTTCCAATGTGACTCTCGCTTCAGCGCCGCGCACATTCGTTCATACGAATCGCAGGAGTTTCACGGATTCCCACGGTCAACGTAGCAGAAATTGCGTGTTTGAAGGATTCAGAATTTTGCGGGTGTAACAATTACGTTGATTCGCGATGTTGAGATCCCAGGAGTGACGTTCTGGCAGGATCAATGACCGTCAAGACGCAACAGTCAGGTTGATCCGTGGCGTTGGAATCACGAGAACAATGTTTTAACAGGTTTTCGGGTCTTCAAGCGGTTATCTTCCAACGAGGCAGGTCCCTCAATGGAAATGAACCGCTGTAGGGGCCTATGAAGAGGGAACTTGAAAGGACGGTGTATTCCAATATCGTTGGTGGCTCTTGGGTTTACACTGGTCCTCCTCCTCCTCTTCCTGCTCCTCCTCCTCCTCCTCATCCTCCTCCTCCTCATCATCATCATCATCATCATCATCAGCATCATCATCATCATCATCATCAGCATCAGCATCATCATCATCATCATCATCATCATCATCATCATCATCATCATCATCCTGCTCCTGCTAATGCTCCTGCTCCTGCTCCTACTCCTGCTCCTTTTCCTCCTCCTCCATCCCGTTTCCTTATAAACAACTCGTCCCTGTCGCACCCCGAGGCCAGTTTTTGGGGGCGGGCTGGGCGTTTCGCTTGAGACCTCCTCACAATTCATGACTCTGAAGCATAGAAGTGTCAACAAATTCACAGAAGGAGGGCGGTTGGTTTTCAAAATGTGGCTTTCGCCTTAGCGCTGCGCAAATTCGTCTCCAACATGTTCAAGAGTTTCACGGATTGAGGATAACCCGTTTTCAAAATGTGGCTCTCGCCTTAGCGCTGCGCACATTCGTTCTAACGAATTGCATGAGCTTAATGTATTGCGGGCGGCTCCTTTTCCAATGTTACTCTCGCTTCAGCGCCGCGCACATTCGTTCATACGAATCGCAGGAGTTTCACGGATTCCCACGGTCAACGTAGCAGAAAT